CAACATACATAGTACATTAGGGCGCCTCAATCACCATACAAAAAAAAATAAAAATCGGTACTTTTCCTTCAAAATATTTCGACAAAATATTAAGATTTACTTGAGCTGGACTCATTTGGAAATACCTCCAAGAATCAATTTTTTTTAACAATACAATTAGTGTTTAAAAGTATTTTTTCTAAAAAGTCTCCTCAGATAGAGATTAGATAAGCTTAAAAGGTCTGCATAAAAATATTTAAAAATTTTATCAACGGAATCAAAATAAAGATATTTTTGGAGGTATGTATTTTCAAATCCGTCTAGCTCAAATAAGTCTCAATACTTTTTCGAAATATTTTTGGCGGAATTCTTAAAACATAAAAACAAATGTTTGTTCCGGTGGATAAATCGCAAGTTCGTTTGGTGATGCACCCTAGTGTACGTACATCAATAAAACAACAAATATTCATTGAGCTACTTGCTAACTTGGCTGCTGATGAATCTTGAATGGTTGTGCTGTGTGTTTTATTTGTACTGTATATATGAATATCATAGGTTTTGTGGATCTTCCTCCAGACAAAAGAGTTGTTCATAATCCCGGCATTGTATTACTCATATGTATAAAAAGAGAATTGTATAAATTGTGTTGCAAATGTTGTTGTCGTCATCAATAAAAAATTTAGCAAAATTTGCGTTTTTTTTCAATCATACTCGCACTCATTTGTTTTGTTTACAAAATTGTGAAGTTACCGCTCAGAGTCGGACCCGTACTGAAGTTGCCTTTGGTTTTAGGCGCGTTGGCAAACTTTAATTAAGTTGCGTTGCGTTGCGCATCTAGAGACCTTTACGGTCTGTTCTCTTTAGTGGTGTAGAAGCTCGAATATTTGCAACACTTCTTATATACAGCATGATGAGAAGAGCGTCCAACTTCGATCAATGGTGCCTCGTGGCAACTCATGCATTGCTGTTGTTTTTATTCATCAATGTCTTACTATGTTTGTTCTTGGGTGGTCGCATACCCAATTCAGTTTCATATTGAAGTTGCTGGATTTGCTAAAGTGCATTGAATGAGGGAAATCTTGGTTGTTATAAACATTTTTAGTGAGCTGCATTTTGGCGAAATTCACAAATACATACCCTGCAGGAAATTAAATTAATTTAAAAGTTCGTAGTTTAGAAAAGATTCTTACAAGAGCAAATAATCGCATTTATTTTCAATTAGCTTGTAACGAAGTTAACGACTAAAAACCGACAAAAGAGAATATCGAATCAAAACTGTCCCGCACTGCACTTGTTTAAAATAATTTAAAGCTAGTTGGCCTGCATTAGAGTAGATCACAAAACAAAAAAACAAGTTGCGTCTTTTCCACTGAAATTATAAAATTAACATATTTTAAGACTTCCTCCAAAATATTTCCGAAAAATATTAAAATTTAGGCAAGATACACCAATTTGAAAATGTCTCCTAAATTTGACTATTTTGATTCTGTTGATAAAATTTAAACAAATATTTATCGAGACAATTTAGGCGTGAACTCTTCTATCATATGAGGTGATTTTTAAGTAAAAATATTTTTTAAAACTTATTTTATTTATAACAAAACTCGGTTTTTGGAGGTACATAATTTCAAATAGATCAAGCAGACGTAAATCTTAAAATTTTTCCCAAATATTTTGGCGCGAGCCTTAAAATGGAATAAATTTTATAACTCCGATGGAAAAAGAGTAGCAATTTTTTATTTTATTATTTTTTTGGTATGGAGACTGATGCACCCTAATGTACATATGTATGTTGTTTTAGAAATTTTCTTTTTTCCGTCTGGGTATTCACTTATTGTTCATTTGCACGTACATATGTATGGATGTACTTATGTAGTATAACGATGTTGACTGGAGTAGGTCAGGAAGAGTGTTGATGTTTGTGCAAATAACTTTGGGAATAGCTTTGCAAATTACGAAACAAATTTGTTATGTTTTCTTTCTCATACAATCAGTCATAATATCTCAGGCCAATGGAGAAAATTGAGCGAAAAGCGATGTGGCGATTGCCTATCGCATCGCATTTCTCTTTCGCATCGCATTACAGAGTAGCCCCCCAGGACTAAAATGCTTGGGAGCCTACCAATTCCAGAAGTCAGAGGACATCTCAAAAGTAGGCTGACATTTCTCTACTTTGACGCGAAAAACGAGCTCCAACTGGCAACGCTAATGACCTACCGGTATGATGCATCAATGCTCATGTCTCTAGCAGTAATTTGTTTTCTTATTGGCGTATATTTAGGTGACTCCGAAAAATGTTAAAATGAAAGGTTAGGTAAAAACAATGTTTACCAAAATTGCCTTGCAAAAATACTTTAGACTCAGGGGTGTAAGCCGAACTATTTTCTGTTTACTTGAAAGCTGGTACGGTCTACTTACATAAATACGAAGCTCAACCATTCGCGCCAGGCGATTTTTCGTTATTTTCACGTTGTTTTTCGTCGTTGGTTTAGCATGTTTCCTATGGGAATCTCTGATTTTTTGCGTGCGCCCCAGTGTCGCATTCTTTTGTGTGAATTGTTTTTCATTGTTCGCTTGTCTCTCCAGGAGGTTTGTCTTCGCTTTAATAAACTGAATGAAATAAAGCAAAAAAAATGTTAAATAAAACAAAATTAAATTAGATTAAAATAAAATAAAATAAAATAAAATAAAATAAAATAAAATAAAATAAAATAAAAAATAAAATAAAATAAAATAAAATAAAATAAAATAAAATAAAATAAAATAAAATAAAATAAAATAAAACAATATTTTTATTGAGCTTTGTACCACGATTGTTTATTAGGAAAAATTGAAAAAGCAACAAAGTCTAAGCGGTAGAAGTTATAACACTATTTCGGAGATCACCACATCTCCTCATCAGACCTCCTTTTCTAGACTTCAGCAGGGATCGAACCTGCGAATTCGATGTTCAAAGTCAGAAGCGTTAACCACTGAGCTATGTACATCCCGTAAACTCTTGTTGCTAATTCATTTTCCTTATTCAACCAACGACTTTCCAGTGCAGCTGATCGTGGTACAAAGCTCAATAAAAATATTAAAAATATAATGTTAACAAGCCACAATAACATTGACAAATAAAATAAAATAAATTTAAAAAAATAAAATAAAATAAAATAAAATAAAATAAAATAAA